AGGGCTTTCACAAGGTAGGTGCGTTTCATGTCCACGGAGAGATTAGGATGTAGATACATACATAGGTCTGTATCTATAGATATAACGTCAAGAGTGACAATAGCAGTGAACTTTCCTGGGACGCATCATCTGGGTTGCTAGGTCATCAACGACATCTCAAGGTGGGCTGGTTAACGTCCAGGAAAATGTCCCCAAAGGAAGTTGCATTTAAACTACCAGACGAAAGAAAATAGTATGTTTCCCACCGGTTTCCTTGAGAACCTCCTCTGCCGGTCTCAGCTGGAGCCCAGTCTGAATGCCCAGCTGGGAGCCCTAGAAGCAGAGATGACGAAGGGCCCCAGTACCGCCAACCACTCTGGGTTTAGGGTAGGAGAGAGGCCGCAGGAGCTCCTCAGTGCCAAGCAGAAAGGGAGGACGACGGTCTCCGGGAAATGTCCGAGCCTAAGCCACCTGGAGCGCGGCCCGGGGGAACTCCAATCTCAGCGCTGGGCTGAGTCCCGGGACTGGACGGGAGGAGATCCGATGGCCCCCAGTGAGGCCGGCGAGGAGCCCAGTAGCCATCGCCCCGGAGGTACCAGACCAAGATGCGCGAGTAGCAATACGACACTGGGATCAAAGCAGCTGGGGCATGACTCTGGGAAGGCGGTCCAGAGGGGAAGCGAAAGTTCCACCGTCCTTTGTCCATTCCTTTCTCCATTCCTTCCTCCATTCCACCCTTGAGTGTCAGAGCCGAGGGCGCCGGGACAGCCCAAGAGCATCCCCTGTTTCGAGACCCGAAGCTCTTACCCATATCCTGCTCCCTCGCTGTCTGCCCTTTCACCCGTGCTTAAAACAACCTAAGTGGACTCTAAAGCCGGCAGACCCTGGGCCCTGGGGGCTTCCCCTGAATGCAGGGTGCTGGCTGCGTGGTGAAATGTGCCTCCTTTCAAAATAGACAACTGCCTACGCACAATGTGGCTTCCCGAGCCTGCGAGGAACATAGCTCCGGCTTCGACCACCGGGACCCGAGGTGGCCGGGCCTGCAGGTGGGGCAAGAACTCCGGGTTCCAGCAGGAGCGAGGGGCCCGGCGCTCTCCCCTGTGTACCCACAACCTCCACACACTTATGTCGACATCCCTCAGGCCCTATCCTGAGTCCCTAAACCCCGACAGACAACTCAGATTCAAACCCCGTAGGTGAGAAGGTGGGACAAATGGTGGCTGAGGAGTCAAATACTAACTTTCTCCGCACCCCGTTGGAAGGAGGAAGTCAGTGCCCAGGTGGACAGCAGCTGTCAGGCGAGCTCTCCAGAAGTGGAGGATGGGAAGGTGGCGGTTCAGGTCAAAGATGAGGAGGGTTCACACCAGACAGTGTGGATCCTGGCACAAAACCTCTCCCGCCAGTCCTCACGCCAACCAGCGAAGGTCTGCTCCCTTAGCTCGGGAAAAGGGCTCTGCCAAAGGAAACGGGAAGTGAGGCCTGCCAAAGGAGGAGGAGAAAATTAATTAATGAGGGAAAGAAATGTGTCTCTGATCCAGATGATAGACTCCCTGTCCCTGGGGGCGGAAATTCCTTGGAAATCAATAGCTGTGCATTCATTATCCTTCTCTTGATAAAATGCAAAGCTATGAGATGAGGAGGAGGAGGGGATCTGTGTTGGTCATTAAATAAGAAGGAAAAAAAAAATTGCCCAGAAATCTATGCCAAGACTCAGACCCCATGTGGGTATCATTAGCACAGGCAGGGGCCAACGAGTTACAGCAGTTGCCAAACCAGGAAAACAAAACAGTGACGTATGGGTGAGCTGAGCCCAAGCCCACCACCCTTTCCTTTTATGCACCAGGAGGAAAGTAGGGAGAGGCTTGATATGGTCCAGGGAACTGCCTGCAGATGTGCCGGCATGCCCCATTCTTTAGCCTGAGGCTGAGAACCAACAAGGATGAGGCGTGATAACTGTCCAAGGATCATCTGCCCCATATTTCTATGCACGTCCCTCTCATCACACCTGTTATAACTGTGTCATAGGTGCCTTTTATTCGTGGCTGCCCCACGCACATACACTGTCACGTCCTGTAGGGCAGGTACTCATATTGTATACCTTATTTTATCTCCAGTGTCTTGTACTGGGCCAGACTACTGCTCAGCAGGCATTTGAGGAAGGAAGATAAGGTAGCAAGTTAATGAGGGAGGAGTGAAATAATTGGCTCCTGAAAAAGAACAGGCTGGAATCAAAATTTACAGCTCTGCCTGGGGAAAACACACCCCTCTTTTTTAAGGAGAATGTAGACCACCCTCCCCCAAGCATCTTCCTGCAATCTCCAACCAGCCCTGGATTGTTGAACAGCCCCTAGGCCACCATCTCTTCCCCAGACTACCTGAAACTGGCCTCTCTTCCTTCCTACACACATGCGTTGTTTGGTGGGGTACTTTTCCTGTGACAAACCCCGCATTAAGTGCCATAGTGAAGTTGGATGTGTCCTAGATGGGCTTCCTATCCATGGTGGCAGGGGGAGGGAGGATTGTACCCACCGCCCTCATATTTCTGGTCCCATCAAAACACCCAATATCCCGAGCAAAGATCTGTCCTCACCCCAAGGTGGGGTATTCCTGTTGTCAAAAGAGAGGTAAATAGGGAAGGAAATCTTGGTGGGACCAACTCCTAACTTCAGGCTAGACTGGCATCTCTCCGCTGGGTTTATTGGAAGTCTCCCAGGGTTGGAGGGTTTATTGGAAGCCTCCCAGGGTTGCAGGGCGAACCGAGGTGCCTTTTGGGTACTCAGGAGCTTACTGCGCTCTCAGAGGCCCCACCCGGCCACAAACCTGTACTGTTTGTCTTTCTGTCGCCCCTGTACCCTTCAGGGTCCCTAAAGACCAGCGCTTCCTTGAGAGGGGAGGAGCAGGCTCCAGGCCCTCACCCTGTGTGGGGGCCTTTTCTTTCCCCTCAAAAGAGAGTGCAGGGAACTGCCACCAGGGGTGTCAGGAAGGATTAGGTTAAGCCCGGACTGCCGGTGTGATGACTGCCTTAGGACTCACTCTTTCCCTCTAGCGACGTCCTGCTCATCGTCCACTCCCAGTTGAGATAAAGTTGCATTTAGCGCTCCCAGGGGACTGCATAATGGATGGAGCCAGCTCCTTCTCTCACCAGCAAGTGAACATCCTTCTCACTTCCCTCTGGAGCTAGAAGGAAGGGAGGGGGTGGGGGGGAACATGAAAAGAAAGAAAAAAAAAAAGCCATCGTGACGCCTGTGGGCTCTTCTTGGAATCTGAGTAGGTGAGTGGGTACGCTAAATACACATGCGTTTGTGCAGAGGAAAGATAAAATCCACGGGAACGCAAATTTAGGTTTATAGAAACGAGATCTGCTCTCTGGTGGAAATACAGACCTCCTTGGTGTGAGAGAGACCAAAAAGATTATGTATCTGATCTCGGCTTTCCATAAGCAGCCCCTTGCTGCTCTCCAGCTCTCTTGCTGCAGATGTGATAACATCTGGGCTGTTAGGTTATTATCACCGCGAGCAAGTGCTCGGTCTCTGGGGACTTTCGCACCTGAACTGTGGCTCCCCTGGGAGGCTTTTGATCTGCTGCCACATAAGGGCCATATAACAGGTTGGCTAATTGATTTATTCTTTTTAGGTCTTAATTTCACAATAATGTTTTAACAATTTAAAAACTGGACCAGAGCTTGTACCCGTTCTTTCAAATTGGCTTGATTTAATATTTTTGAATCAAGCTTTCCTATAAGTTAGCTTGATCTGTCTTCTATTGAAAAAATATGTATGCGCGCGCGTGTGTGTGTGTGTGTGTGTGTGTGTGTATGCAAGCAGAGATAAGAGGCGAAAAGCCAAAACGATGGAAGGGAAAAGAAAGTTTTCTTTTCAACATCTTATTCCCTTTTCTCTGAAGCAGTTTTCCCGGAGTTTCCAGCATAAAGTGTGTGTGTGTGTGTGTGTGTGTGTGTGTGTACGCTGAGGGGAGGAAGGATCCCAACTACACCCTGTTAACTATTTTTTCCTTTTGATTACTAGAAGCCTTAGATCACCCGGAGCTCGTTTGAAACGTGGGTTTGTACACAGTTGAAGGAGACAAACAATAAGAAAAATGCACAATTTCATTTCAACAGCTTTTCCCGAGTAGAAAGCACACGCTCCTTGTGGCTCCTAAGTGGCTGTCACTGGCGGTGCCTGACACAGTTATATTCACAACAACAACAAAAAAAGTATGCCGAGGAAATTAAATTATATGGAAATCAATAGCGTCTGACTGCTTCAAACAAACGTCTGTCACCGCGATTATTCTCCAGGAACCTATTTATAAACGTTGAAAGAAACAGGTTCTTGCAGCAAAAGACAGCACCTTCTGCATTTCTGTGTTGTTATTTATGCTGTATACAGAGGAATGCTCGGGCATAATTTAACATACAAATGCCCAGCTGTATACATTATATAACAGCTTGTTAGGCATCCCAGAGAGGAGGAGTGCCTAAGTAATGCGCATATATTCAGGGCTTGCGATCAGGGGGAAGAAACAAACAAACAAAAAAACACACAGAGTGGCGTGCGCTCATCTCGTCTTTTTTCTTCTAAAAGGTGTCCACCCTTAGACAATAGCTCGACTTTCTGATCTTTGCAGACCGCGGTGGGAAAGGTGAGGCGGGCAGTGCGCATGCCCGGGTAGCTACAGGTGCATCACCTGCGCTGTACTTGCTGGTGGTCACTATAAGAGCGGCTCCCACGCGCCGGTAGCGGCCGGACGAGCGCGCGCGCGCGCAGACGCACGGCGCCGCCGAGAAGGAGAGCGCGCGCCAGACAGACGGAGACAGCTGATGCCTGTCAGCGCGGTGGGGCGCGAGCTCTCGCGAGAGCTCCCCAGGACGGCCGCGAGAAGTGGGGCTCAGGTGTAAGAGGAGTGCATCCCGTCGGCGCGCGGGGCTAGAGCTCTCGGAGAAGCAGGACCGCGAGGCCGGCGCGCGGCGCTCTGCGCGGTCAGAGGGAGAGCCCGGCAGCAGCAGGAGCAGTAGCAGCAGCCTGCGCCGCGGCCACCACCAGCCGCCGCGACTGCCGCGGCTGCAGCCTCGGAAGGGAGGCCGGGTGAGCCCGCGTACGCACTTTCCCGCGGACTTTCGGAGTGTTTGTGGATATACATGCCAAGCCGCCACGATGATGTCCATGAACAGCAAGCAGCCTCACTTTGCCATGCATCCCACCCTCCCTGAGCACAAGTACCCGTCGCTGCACTCCAGCTCCGAGGCCATCCGGCGGGCCTGCCTGCCCACGCCGCCGGTAAGCGCCCCACGCCCGCGGCCCCGGCCCGCGCGCCCGCCCCTCCCCGTCTCCGAGACGCTGCATGTCGGGGGCTGGTGTGTGCAGGTCCCGGTGCGGGGAACTGCAGGCAGGGGGTGTAGAGCAATCCCGCTGCGAGGCACGTTTTGTCCGGCGGCGCTTAATGTCGTGTTCCTGTGTGCCTCTGCCTCCGCGTCGGGCGCCTGCGATCGGAGTGGGGAGCGCTAGGGCCAGGACTCTCGACTTCCCTGCACTTTCTCTGTTAATTTCATGCCTCAGAAAGGCGGTCTCTGTGCGTGCTCGGGTGTGTGACACGGGTCCCCAGCTACGAGTTACATTTCCATTTCTTCTTCTTCTTTTCCCCCTTCTTTTTCGTCTCCCACGCCCGTTCCCGGAATGTGTTCTTGTGTCCCCCTTTCTCCCTACTTCTGTCGCCCTCTCCACGGCTCCTATCCCTTCTCGTCTGTCCCCCTGCCTGGTCGCCAATGTGCCCCCTTCTCCGTCTTTCCCGCACTCCGCTGCCCCCAACCCCGTTGTTACTTTGGTTGCTTTGTGTTTGCCCTTCGCATGCTGTGCTTTCCGGCTTGTGTGTGTGTTTCTTCTGTTGTTTTGTTTTGCTCTTTTGGTTTTGTGGTTTTTTTTTTGGTTTGGTTTGGTTTGGTTTGTGTCGCCTGCAGCTGCAGAGCAACCTCTTCGCCAGCCTGGACGAGACGCTGCTGGCGCGGGCCGAGGCGCTGGCGGCCGTGGACATCGCCGTGTCCCAGGGCAAGAGCCATCCTTTCAAGCCGGACGCCACGTACCACACGATGAACAGCGTGCCGTGCACGTCCACTTCCACCTGTCTCTTATACACATCTAGATGTGTATAAGAGACAGCATATATTCAGGGCTTGCGATCAGGGGGAAGAAA